CGGGCACAGCACCGAGGTTTGCGATCCCGTTGCCGGTCCTGGTCCGATACGGGTGCAACACTGAGGGTTGCGATCCGTTGCCGGACACGGAAAAAGACAAAAAGGAAAAAAAAAAAAAGAAATAGAAAAAAACAATCCTAACATTCATATGGAACAAAAAAAGACCCTGAATAGCCAAATCAAGCCTCAGCAAAAAATAAAATAAAATAAAACAAAATAAAGCCAGAGTCATAACACTACTGACTTCTAATTACACTACAAAGCTTTAGTAACCATAATAGAATAGTATCAGCATTAAAACAGACACTGGGACCAATGGAAAAGAATGCAGAACCCAGAAATCAACCCACATTTTTACAGACAACTTGTCTTTGACAAAGGCACCAAGGACATACACTGGGGAAAAACCACCTCTTCAATAAATGGTGCTGGGAAAATTGGACATCCATATGTAGAAGAATGAAACTAGACCTGTACCTTTCACCATATATCAAAATCAGTTCAGAATATATTAAAGACTTAAATGTAAGACCTGAAACTACAAAACTCCTAAAGAAAAATAGGCAAGACACCTAAGGAGGTAGAACTGGGCAAAGACTTTATGAATAAGATCCCACAAGCACAAGCAACAAAAGAAAAAAGAAACAAATGGGATTATTTCATACTAAAAAGCTTCTGTGCAGCAAAAGAAATAATCAACAGAGGAAAAAGACAACCTACATAACGGGAGAAAATGTTGGCAAACTATATATCTGACAAGGGATAAATATCCATAATCTACAAAGAACTCAAACAACTTAACAGTAAAAAAACAAGTAACCCGACTTAAAAAAAAAAATGGGCAAAGGAGCTGAGCAGGCATTTCTCAAAGTAAGATATACAAATGGCCAACAGAAACATGAAAAAATGCTCAACATCACTAAAGCATCAGGGAAATACAAATCAAAAACACACTGAGATATCATCTCACCCCAGGTATAGAAAGAGAAATACCACATGTCCTCACTCATAAGTGGGATCTAAAAAAATAAATAAATACAAAAAGGAAGAAAGAAAAATTCAACAATCACAACAATTCGCTGAACTTTCAAAAGGAGAGAACAGAACTGAGGCCACAGAGGTGGGAAAGGGGGGGAGGGAGGGTTAGCATGAAGGGCCACAAAAAATGATTACATTGTATAATGTTGATTATACTAATTATCCTGCTTTAAGCATCACATATTGCATACAGGTATTGACATACAAAGCTGTACCCCACAGATACATACAACCAATTATGTTTCAATAAAAAATAATCATCCCATAAATATATACAATTATGGTGTATCAATTAAAAAATAATTTTAAAAAATAATAGGATGGTAGTAATGATAACGAATAACAACGATAGCAGAAGCTACCATTTATTTCATTTTTTTTTTCGTTAAATTTTTATTTTGTCAATATACACTGTATATGATTATTATGGCATTTATTTCATATTTAATTCTAACAACAACCCTTCAATCTAAGCATTAGCTCCATTTAACAGATTACAAAATTGAGGCCATAAAGGGGAAGTAACTTTCCCAGCTAGTAAGTGAAAGAGCCTGAATTCAAATCTAAGGCTCTCTGACTCCCAGGAGAGAATGGGCTATCTCAGGAGATAAGATATTTCTGATCCAAGCATCAATGTGGTGCTGGAGCATGTGAACCAAGACTCTTTACCTCGATGGAAATGCTGCTCCATATCTTCTAGAGACTGTTCTTGTTGTTCTTACTGTAATTCTAACTCCAAGCTCATCACCAGGATCCCAGGTCTACAGTGCTTCATCTTTTCAATAACAGTTTCTTTCTGTCCATGTTGAACATGTGATATAAGACCCAACCTGTAAACATAGCCTATGATTCTTACTATTCCTTCCTGTGTAATGCACTTCTGTAGAATGTTGATTGCCCACCTCTACTGGAGTTCTGGCACTGATACATCTCCTCTCAGTATATTATTTAACCTCTGGCTATTTCCAGACACTTAATACTGATCCTAATCTAATTCCCAGTCCTATCCTCTCTGGTCTCCTCCTATCTGTCACTTCTCAAGCCCTGGGCCCTCAAAGCTTTCAGCAATGAAGAAGACTGAGACCTTGATGTTTTAGGGGGCCACTTAGTTTGCTCTTATTATATAAATTAAGTTGCATTTTAAACAAAATGAAATGAAAAAAAAAAGTAGCTGTAAAGAAAATCAATCTGATAATTAATCTCTTTACGAATAAACATACTCGATTCCATAGGATGAAACCCCTTCTTCTAATCCTGAAGTTCAAGATTTCTTAGAAATGCAAAGCATTAATATCTGTAGTTCATTCATCAAGGCTAAGTATGTAAAATTATTTAGAAAAATATAAAGTACCTCTTGATTACTGAGTTGTGATGTTATTTTCTTCTAATCTTAAAAAGAAAATTAAGAAAAGTTAAATTTTCAGATTGTAAAGAACATATTCTAATTTCCTACAAAATTACAAACACTGTGACTTATATATACTTGCTAGTCTAAATCATAAAGTAGAAAAATAGCAATGAGGAACAAATAACAATAGTATGTTAAAAATAATGTAATACGTAGCCTGTGTGCAAAGTAAACATGTTAATAGTCATTTAAAATTCTATATCATACATCAGTACAGTGGTTAGTAAATCAGCATTCTTTAACAGGAGACTCACTTGAAAATTTACTTAAGCAAGAAGCCATCTACAATATTGTAGTCATCTCTATTTATTCAAAAGAATTTGTTTAGCCCCACAATTGCTAACTATTAAAATTCGGAAAAAGGAACCTCACTGCATTTATTTATACAATAGGCATTTTTCCTTTAATCACCAGATTTGCTTATCAGTTAGTCATCTTATATTACAGAAATACACCTTAATATTCTCCAAAAACTCCATAAACTTACTTTAATATTAGCTTTCATTTTCACACTGATAATCACTGAAATTAACAAGAAATTAAAAATATCCATGCAGCACAACCACAAATAAAAGCTAAATTTTGTTCTGGAATTACTCTTCACATGTGGGCAGCTATTTCAACAAATGATTACAATGAACAGATACTACTTATACATGGTTCACCGCAACTAAGTAATACATAGGTTGAGTCACACAAGCTGAAATATAAATTCCATATTTTTTCATAAAACAGAAAAATAAATATGTAGAGAAAACAAATACATGATTTTACCTACTTTTTCGTACAGTCTTTGTTTGATTGGACACCATACTGACAGCCTCTGATGGTAGACCAACATATACTCCTCCATAGTTTCTTAAAGAAAAGAAATCAGACCGATTTAAATGGTGCTGTATATTTACAGGAAGCAATAGAAGCATGGAGTACTTCAAACAATTATATAATTATTAAAATAACTCATGATTTTTCAAAAGTAGGATTCAAATATTATTGCCCCTGGAAATACAATTGTTTTTTCTGTGTTAAAAAGAAGCTTCTTAAAAAAAAAAAAAAAAAAAAAAAGCTGTACTGAGTTAGTAAAATTTTAGATATTTTACTTGCAATAAGAAAGAAGTTGGTATCTTCCTCTCCCCCCCCCNCGATTTAAATGGTGCTGTATATTTACAGGAAGCAATAGAAGCATGGAGTACTTCAAACAATTATATAATTATTAAAATAACTCATGATTTTTCAAAAGTAGAATTCAAATATTATTGCCCCTGGAAATACAATTGTTTTTTCTGTGTTAAAAAGAAGCTTTTTTTAAAAAAAAAAAAAAAAAAAGCTGTACTGAGTTAGTAAAATTTTAGATATTTTACTTGCAATAAGAAAGAAGTTGGTATCTTCCTCTCCCCCCCCCGTTTTTTTTTGTTTGTTGTTGTTGTTGTTTGTTTGTTTTTGTGTGTGTGAGAGTGTGTGTGTGTGTGTGTATGTGTATGTATGTGTGTGAACTGATTCATTCACCTTTAGTTCCCTCCAATAAGTGAAAACATGTGGTATTTCTTTTTCTCTCGTTTCACTTAATATTATTCTTTCAAGGTCCAAATGGAGGGGACACACTTGGGTGGGAGGGGGGAGAGGGAGGAGGGAGGGAGGTTTCGGTGATGGGACATAATAATCAACTACATTGTATATTGACAAAATAAAAATAATAAAAAAAAAGAAAAAGTAATATTTTACCTGAATTGTAAAGGATTAATAAAACTTGGCAAATAAATTTAAAAAAAAAGAAAGAAGTTGGGATTTTGTGGACATAATAATCAACTACATTGTATATTGACAAAATAAAAATAATTAAAAAAAAAGAAAAAGTAATATTTTACCTGAATTGTAAAGGATTAATAAAACTTGGCAAATAAATTTTAAAAAAAAGAAAGAAGTTGGGATTTTATAATTTAGTACAGTAATAAATATCAGTACAGTGACATGCTACAATTAATCAGTCAATGCTTATCAAGAATTGAGAGTGCTCAACATGGTATTAGTTGTTATGGACACACAAAAACATTTTACCTATAGGGAGATATAAATATAAAATGAGGAGGGAGAGAGCTAAGGAGTCATGAGAGTAAACTGCAGTTAATCAGAGGAGGCGTGGGAGGACAGAAAGGCAGAGAGAATGACGGGAAGCCATCCAGCTAGGGAGAATGGCACACCCCAAGTCCCCAGGATGGAAATTAGCACAGGCCATAACATGCAAAGGACCAAAACCAAGCTTGAAGGAAGGAAAGATTATGGATTCTAGACAAATTATTTTTCAGATCACATGCTCCTACCTGTATTCTCCTTGCCAAAAGTTTTTCTGGTAGAATCTCTGTGTTATTGGTAATGTGCTACAGTGTGTTAAATCCATGAGGTATGGCCAAAATTACTCAAATTAAAGCTAGCTGCAACACAAACATACCTCCTCTTGTCATCTTCTGTTATCGATTCTTCTGTTCTAAAAGGTCAAAAACATTTGCTATGAGCCGCTTGATTACATAGTCAGAGCCTCCATTTTTAGTTATGAGAAAAAGAGGACGACTGAGTTAAAGTCGATTTTGTTTATTTCAAGTGTTTCCACCAGTATTTCTACAAGAGTATTTTGGCTCCACCTTAATCATTCATACACTAAAGATTCGGTAATTTTCTACCAAAACGTGCAAATCCAGCAAATGCCAAAAAGCCCAACTGCCAAACAAAATGAAAAACTGAGGGCAGCTGAGATCAGAAAGGGCACATAAGTCAGGTGTCAGGAAGCCTGAATTCTCATGTCATCCGTGCCACCCGCTCCTGTGTGACAGGCTGTGGGAAAGCTGCCAGCCTATGCCTCATCTGTAAAATAAGTAGGTCGACCAGATAACTCCCAAGGTCCCTTAGTCTATTTCTAACACACTATGATTTGGGGTCTCTCTTGCCAGTTCAATGCCATGACTATAGGTATTGAAAATTTTCTTTAGTGCAAAAAGAATTAATGCCAATTTGATTTCTTTTTATCTAAAAACACCAGCCTTTTATCTGCTGCAAAGAGAGCGAAGAAATGTTTAAAAGGAAGTTTTTAAAGGGAATTGCTACTTTAAAATGCCCAGCCTCTTTCCTTGCATAAGGGAATTCATATTCTATTAGAGTTCTTTGACATATTTCTAAAAAGATCAGGAAGCTTTCCTCAAAGCATTAATTAGCACATATAAGTTACTTTTCTGAAAGAAAATAACTCAGTAAGATTCAAATGTATCTGGCTGAACTCAGCACCTAATTCTAAGGGGCTTTAGTCAAGGAGAAAGCACACTAAAAACATCTAAACATCTTTGTTAAATCTTCTGATTTTAGAGATTGTCTAACAATGGTTTCACCCACTTAAAAGTTGTGAATATTTCAAAGGTAACTAAACGTACATGAGATTTTGCTTCACTGCAACAGCCAATTAAGTCCCAAGTCTTTAAAGAAGGAAAGTGTGGATTTGAAGTTATCTGGTGAACACTGGCCATAAACAGCTATAACACTCCAATAAAGTACAAAATACACCTTGAGATCTAATTTATCTAAACTGAGCATATAACCTAAATTGACCAGATAATTATCACCTTCATTTACCTCTTGCTAAAGTTGGGTCGTTTTTAATTCAAAAGTGTCAAAGTCATACTGTATTAGAAATGGTGTTACGCTTATTGCTGTGGTATAGCAAAGTGTTGTTTATTACTTTTAATTAAAATGGATTTATAACCCTTTAGTGTAGATAATGGGAAAATGATTGTGACAAAGTCATTCAAGATGATTAGAAATGCTTACTCAGTCCTGAGTGACTAATATTAACATGAAATTGTTTTTGCAGCTGTATATAACCAGCAGATTTGGACCCATACAAAGTCTCATATTTTCTGCCACAGCTATTCTTTCAACCCAGTTATATACCTGTTTATTTTAATTCTTTCCCCTTTTGCCTAATTCTGCTTAAGGATATATTTAAGGTTTTAAAATAAATATTCTCACACTTTATTTCCCAAAATATAAGAAAATAATAAATCATTTCAATCTATTATTTCTTATTATTCAATAGCTTAAAACCCAATCTGTGTTCCCCATTATAAAAACTAACCAACAACCTTACACATCTAACTGGCAGAAAACGATAATGTAGCTGCCATACTTATTAGATAATAAATTAAGCTTCAGATATAATATAAAATCTTTAAAAATACCACTTATAAAGAGTTATAGATGTCCATTCTTTTACACCTTCAAATAAGTTATCAAGCTGCCTTTACATATGCGTTCCCATGTATGAGTTTGTTGCATTAACCATTTCTTCCATACACAATAATTCTCCAATACTAAGCCTGGAGACTAGGACTACACAGGGGGAAACAGCATCATTAATGAGTCTCTGCTGTGTGTCAGGCATCAGTGCTATTCCCCACCAACAGTTCTGAGAATGTAGTCCTGAGGAAATCGATGCAGAGAGCCATGTAATTAATAAACATACAAGAACAACAAGCAAGACAGACATTCAAACCCCATCCACTGAACACCAAAGCCATGCTCCACTTTCTAATTCACCACTCTGCCTCTCAGGTAGAAAGATGGGAAAGTCAAAGACACTTCCAGTGGCAGACCAACATGGTGGCTTCTCCTAAAGTGGGGGCTGCCTCCACACCTCTCTTGCAATAGTCCACCCCTGTCTCACAATCTGCTTGTGTAATTATACCAGGCACTTGGCTAGTGCTATTATTTCCTTTAACTGCGTCACAATTCTGCAAGACTAGTATTAGCCACATTTTAAAGATGAAAAACTGAGACTCTGGAAGATTAAGCAGCATCACCAAGGTTACAAAGCTAGGTAATAGAGCCAGAATTCAAACCCAAGTTTGTGTGATTCCAACTCCTACTTCATAAACTGTGGGACTCTAATTTATATTATAGAAACACGCACATTCCCCCTGCTGGATCTCTCTAATTTTTATCTTCCCACTCAAGGAAAGAGGGAACCAAGATGGTTAAAGAGTCCTAGTCTATGTTTCATTAGCATTAGAAGAAACCACTAACAGCTTCCAGGGACCATCAATTTTTGTACAACTTGTCAAATTGCTACATAACTCATTTTTATGCAAATACAATCATCAGTTACATAAGAATCCATTCTTAAATCAGAGAGAGTTGGTCTAAACCGAATCTCCTTACGGAAGGATAGGTCCAAGCCATTGTTTAGTTGCCTAGGGAGAACCAAATGCTGCCCTACCCACATCCAAGAGGACAGCATCCTACCAGCTGGGATGGTGTGGTCCTGCCCCAAATGCATAGGCTATAGCATAAGAAAGAAGAAATGGGGCTGGCCAGTTGGTTACAGCATGGTATTGCAACACCAAGGTCAAGGGTACAGATCCCTGTACCAGCTAGCCGCCAAAAAAAAAAAAAGAGAGAGAGAGAGAAAGATAGAAAGGAAGAAAGAAGAAATGGTTCGGCAAGCAGCAATAAATTCCTGGCAGAAGGAAAGCTCAGAGATGTTAAGCCAAAGGCCCCTGACAGGCCAACAGAATTGCCTCAAGGTTAGTAGGTTTCTAGGCTGCAGATGGGAATCTAAAAAATACATCTTCTGGTATGGGGGACTAACTTCCCTAAAGGTCATATCTTGAAAAGAGAAGTGGACGATATCAAAGGAAAGTTCAAAACTGGGATATTAAATTTATCTTACCACTCAGCAACTGCAGTGGGTTGAGTTGCATCCCCCAAAGTCCACGTATTAGAAACTTAACCCCCATTGCGACAGTGTTAAAAGGGTGGGAAATCCCAATGTGGTAGCTGAAAGGTGAGGCCTTGAAGAGGTGATTGAATTGTGAGGATTGGACCCTCGTGAATGGATTGACCCCTTCTTGGAATAATGGGAGTGGTTCTGGTGGCTTTAAAAGGAGAATCAGTGAGGAGGTTAGTTTCTCTCTGCTTCTGCCACTTCGCCATGTGATACCCTGCGCTGCTGGAGAGTTACCACCAAGAAAAGGCCCTCGCCAGATGTGTTCCCTGGACTTTGGACTTCCCAGCCTCCAAAACTGTAAGGAATAAATATTTTTTCTTTCACTTCTAAACAAAAGCCCCACCCAAGCAACCTCACCCAGAGTCACCTACTCTAGCTGAGAAGCTGTGGAGCAACCCAGCATCTCCCTTGGGGGTGCAGAGTCCTGCCAATAGCCCCAAAGACCTTGCCCAGAGTCACAAATTCCAGTTAAGGAGCTGCAGGGCACCCCAGCACCTCTTCTGGGGGTTCAGAGTTCTGCCCACAGCACCAGCAGCCTTACCCACAGTGGCCCAATCCAGCTGAGGAGCTGCAGAGCACCATAATGCCTCTCCCAGGGACCTGAGATCTTGCCTACAACCCTAGCAACCCCACCCAGAGTTGCCAATGCCAGCTGTAGAGGTGTACAATGCCCTAGTGCCTCTCCTGGGAGTCCAAGGTCCTGAATACAGCCCCAGCAACTTCCTCCCAGTGTTGACTACTCCACCTGAGGAACTTCTCCATGGCTCCATGGTTCCACCCATTTCCCCAGGAACCATACCCACTTTAGTAGAGGAACAGCCTATTGCCACAATACCTCTCCTGGAACCCCAAAGTCCTAACTGCAACTCCACTGACCTTCTTAAGAGTGGCCCACTTCAGCTGAGGACTCACTGAGCACACCAGCTCATCTCCCAAAGGCTCAAAGCCCCACCTGCAGTCCCAGAAATCTTGCTCAGTATCAGCACTACAGCAAGTACCTGCTGAGCACCCAAGCACCTAGGCCACTGAGGCACTTGCATACGACTTCGACACTGAATACAGCCAAAGAAATCACATGGACACTACACTACTGCACTCACCCAGAATCAAACCTAAACTACCCTAACCAACTAACATTATACAACACATCTACAGGAAAGAGTCTCTCCCTTTCAAAAGATACTCCAAAAAATTAGAAGAAGTGACTGATCTCCCAGCTTCCCAGACATCAAGGAAACATGACATCGACAGTGCAAAACAATAATGCTCCAGAACCTAACCCAAAGAAAAGGAAATCTATGAAATGCCTGAAAAGGTATTCAACATATAATCTTAAGAAAACGCAATGAGATACAAGAGAATACAGATAGACAATCCAACAAAATCAGAAAAACACTTAATGGTCTGAAAAAAATTCAACAGATAGATATCATAAAAAAAGAACCAAGCAGAAATCTTGGAATGGAAATATCCATTAAATGAAAAAAAAAAAAAAAAAAAAAAAAAAAAACCCAAACTGAGAGCTTAAGCAACAGGCTAGATCAAGCAAAAGAAAGAATTTCTGAACTTGAAGACAGTTCGTTTGAAATAACCCAGGTGGACAGAAACAAAAAAAGGAATAAAGCCTATAATAGATAGGGAAGTGCAGGGAAAAGGCATCAAAAAACTATTTAACAAAATAATAGCTGAAGATTTCCCATTTGGGAAGAGATATG